ACGTGGGGCTCGATCCCAGGACCCTGGGATCATGACCTGAGCCGAAGGCAGGCGCTTAACGACTGAACCACCCAGGCGCCCCAGAAATCATCATGATTTTAAAGGGAATGCTTTTACCATTTTCTTGTTTTGGATAATGTTTACTCAGGTTTTTATTTTTATTTTTTAAAATGTTCTTTCTCAGGTAAGAGCATTCTGTTATTAATTTAGTGAGTGTCTTTATTATGAAAAATTTTCAAATGCTTTTTCTGTACTTATTGTAACGATCGTGTTTATTTTCTCTTTTAATAGATTAGTGCAGTCAGTTATATTAATGATTTTTCTAAATATTACATCATCCTTCATATCTGGTATAAGCTCAGTTGATCATGATACATTCTCTGTTTATGTACTGTCAGATTTATTATTTGTTTAGTGTTTTGCATTTGTATTTATGAATGAAATGGGCCTTAATTTTCTTTTCTTATAATGGCTTTGATTAGGTTTAGTATTAGGGGTTTGCTGGTTTCATGGAATGAATTGGAATTTCCTCTTTTTTTTATAGTTCCAAAGAATTTGTATAAAATTTAGATGATCTTTTTCTTCAGATTTTGATAGAATTGGCCTGTACAGCCACTTCTGGGCTTTTACAGTCAATTCTGGGCCTGGTATTTTCTTTGTAAGTATACATGTAACTACTGGTTCAACTTAAAAGATCACTTATTTCTTGACTTGGTTTTGATAAGATTTTTAAAAAATTTCTCCATTTTAGCTTAAATTTACAAAATTGTTTCATATGGTTATTAGTATTCCCTTATCTTTTTTAACCTTATTTATTTTTTTAAAGATTTTATTTATTTATTTGAAAGAGAGAGAGCATGAGCAAGGGGAGGGGCAGAGGGAGAAGCAGACTCTCTGCTGAGTAGGGAGCCCAACCCCCAGCTGAAGACAGATCCTTAACCTACTGAGCCACCCAGGTGCTTTTTTTTTTTTAAGATTTTACTTATTTGTTTGAGAGAGAGAGAGCATGAGACGGGGGAGGGTCAGAGGGAGAAGCAAACTCTCTGCTGAGCAGGGAGTCCAATGCGGTGCTCCATCCTGGGACTCTAGGATCATGACCTGAGCCGATGGCCGTTGCTTAACCAACTAAGCTGCCCAGGCGCCCAACCTTTTTTTTTATAGTTGTATTCCTGACTCCTAGAATTCTAACTTGCATATTTGTGTGATAGTTTTTTTTTATATCCATTAATCTATAACCTTTTATTGTTTCATATCTGCATTAGGGTAGCAGTCCAGCTGATCTTGTTTCTGTTTTCAGCCATCTTCAATCCTTGCTGTAAATTGTCAGACTGAATCTTTCATAATAAAAAAAAACTATTTTTATTATGTTATTTCCCTATTAAAAATCTTTTGCTTCTAGGGCAAACTACTAATTGCTCAAGGTCAGTGATTTTCAAGGTAGCAAATGATGCCATACCCTGACCACAGCCATTCTAATACAAACCAGTATGCACATTGTCTCTTGAACATACCATGTAAATTTGTTCCTTTGTTCATACCCTCTCGCTTCCCTGAATGAATTTCCTTCTCTATTCTCTAGGTCCTGTCAAGCTTTCAAAAGTTATGTTAAAAATTTTACATTCATAGGGGCACCTGGGTGGCTCAGTCGTTAAGCATCTGCCTTCGGCTCAGGTCATGATCTCAGGGTCCTAGGATCGAGACACGCATCGGGCTCCCTGCTCTGCGGGAGTCTGCTTTTCCCTCTCCTCTGCTTGTGTTCCTTCTCTCACTATCTCTCTGTCAAATAAATAAATAAGTAAACCTTTAAAAAAAATTTTTTTTTACATTCATAGAGAAACCTCTGATACTTCAGTTAAAGATGATTTAAAAAAAATTTTTTTTGGTTTTTTATTCATCTCTTTCATGTATGGATTTTTTCTAAATTTTTCACAGGCAGGGCATATACTTTTTTTGTTTTGTGTTTGTTTTAGAGTCACCTTCCCTTTAGGAACCCACAGTTTCATTCTCAACCTTTTTTTCCCTTGAGTATAAATAAATAGTGAAAACTTTATTTTATAGCTACAACTCAGTGAAGATTGTAATTTATAATGCAGTACCTTAAACTACTTTAGGAGCATTTCTCTGAGCACCCACCATATTCTTTTATATAAACTATGAAAAGAAGTTATTCTCTAGTCCAGGGGTTATAAGTCAAATGGCTGCAGTATCAGGTTGGCAACATGTATGCATGCATGAATCAGGTTGTATGTAAGAAACAGGGAGTGAAGAGCCTGGATGAACTAAAGAATATATGTTCTCTCAAAGGAATTCAAACCAAATTCTTAAGGGCCTGGGCCAGCCCTGTCTGTGATCTCTTACTCTAGTCTTCCTTTTCCTGTTAAACTCTACTACTCTTTTTGAAAATGTGTTGCAAGCCAGAGCATATAATAGAATACTCAGGATAAATTAAAGATTTAAAAAGTTGGGAACTACAAAATAATTTATGCTACAGTGAATTTTTTGTGACATGAACTAAAGTTAAAGTTCTGCCAAGTAGATGTATATAAGGTGATTTTTATGTGAGTTCCATGAGATGAAAGACCTCTCTAACTCTCTCGTTCACGTGTGCATCCCACACACCACAATGTCTGGCACACTGCAGGTGCTTAGTAAATACTTGAATGACTATATGGAGGTACCCTTTTTAAGGTCTTTTTTCTTTTATTTTTTTTAAGATTTTTATTTATTTATTTGACAGAGAGAGACAGAGTGAGAGGGAATACATTTTTTTTGAATGGGAAAAGGAAGAAGCAGGCTTCCCGCAGAGCAGGGAGCCCAATGCAGGGCTCAAACCCAGGACCCTGGGATCATGACCTGAGCCGAAGGCAGACGCTTAACGACTGAGCCACCCAGGCGCCCCTAAGGTCTTTTTTCTTTTGGCAATTCTATGCTATATGTAGCATAACCACTTGGTGGTGCTAAACTCATTTTTAAACCTGGAAAGGTATTTTTTATATTCGTGCACACCATGATTACTATTCTTCATACACACACAAAATAAGTTGTAATAAATCATGGACAGTGTGAATCATTATTAACATTGAAGGAGAAATAGTAACTACAGGATATTTGTCTTTTAAAAAAATATTGAAGTTGATTATACAAAAACTGCATGTTTAATGTATATAACTTGATTTTGGAAGGAGTTTGTTTTTTTTTTCTAATTCTTTAAAAAAAGTTTTCTAAAGTGATGGATTATAGATTTGAAGTTTTTTTTTTTTAGGAATGTTAAAAAAAATTCTCTGCCACAGCCTCAGCATCTAGCCTGGCGCTGTGTCCATTGTGTGTCCTTAATGTGTGAATTTGAAAGAATGTGTGAATGAATATAAATTTTAACTTCATCTAACTTCACTCCTACCAACCCATTCCCAGATAATTTTATCCCAGATAATTTTGGTCCAAGATAAGGGGGCACTGAGTCTTACAAAGTGTTAGTTAACCACCTTTATAAAGTCTCCTTTAGTCATTGAAATTTTTTCTCCAAATTTACTAAAGAACTGTGATTCAGGGAAAAATACATATTAAAAGAAATCAGCAATATTAATTGGATTCTAGACTTCCTGTTAGTTTTCTCTAATTTGTCAATTATAAGATGGTTTTGAGTACAAGATAATATCAGAGAGGAATATCCGAAGTGTGGTGGTATCATTATATTTGTTTGAGAACTGGGTGTAAGAGAATGTTTCCTAGTAGAGAAAGCAGTGTTATCAAGGAATTTTTCAAACATACTGCAGCAAACGATGTAAGATCTAGTGGATTTCACAAGACCTCCAAAGCCTCTGGCAACACAATAAGTAGAGGAATATAAGAATTAAAAAGACAGAAGATAATTGAAAATTTTTCTTCTGAAATCCGGCAGGTTATAAATAGTTTGCTAAATTGTAAAATCATAAGTGAATTAGCATTTTTGGAAAGACTCTAATTAGAAAATAGTATTTATGACTAAACTGTATTTTTAAAAATCATTCACCAAATTTAGTTCAACTTTATAATTAACGTTGCTGGTATTCACACTGATCATCTGAGGTTCTTTCTAGCTCTATAGTCTCAACACTGTATAGGGGCTATAGGAAATATGGAAGAAGCCCTTGTCCACAGTAGGTTATAATCTTGTTAGACCATATATATGTACAGAGCCAGCCTAACATGGTGGCTAAGTGCACAAATTCTAGAACGAGACTATCTGCCTGTTGCTTAGCTCTGTGCCCTTGGGGCAAGTTACTTAACTTCTTTGTGCCTTAGCTTCCACAAATGTAAAATGGGGATAATAATATTACTCCTTCATAGGTTGTTGAGAGAATTAAAAGAATTAATACATGTGAGTTGCCTAGAAAAGTACCTGGCACATAGTAAGTGCTATCTAAATGTTTTTTCACTCTAAAATGTAAGGTCCACATAATTTGTTAAATAAATAGTTAACAACTAGATGACAGCAGTGCAAAGACTATATATGACTGAGCTGAAAAAATGTGTGGACAGTATATATCCTTTTTAGGAACTTGAAGGTAGAAACTAATAGCAGTTGTTGGATAATTTCTCTAAAAGCCACCTAGGTGAGTTGGAGCTTGTGCTGAATACTGAAATACGGGTTAAATTTGGATAGGCAGAAGTCAATTTAGGAAGAAGTGTGAATAGGAGGGGGGACAAGTTCTGTTGATTTAATCAGCTGTGTTTAGATCAGGAAAGATTGGTCTTATTACCCTAACTGGATTGGTTTCACTGATATTATGAGTTTATTTAATTTATTTGGTTTCCTAGAATCCTCAACTCCAGAATTGCAGCAAATTCCTGAAAATACATTAGAATGGAATTAAGCACATTTATTATGTTTATGTTAGGACTATATGAAATACATTTTGAAAACTGTTAACGTTATTCATATTTTGGAGGGCATTGTCATCAGTTAAAAGCTGCTTTTTAAAAAAATAGATTGATAATATTTTTGCTTTTATGTTTTATAGGTAATTAACAATGCTTGTGCTACCCAAGCTATAGTAAGTGTGTTGTTGAACTGTACCCATCAAGATGTCCATTTGGGAGAGACATTATCAGAGTTTAAAGAATTTTCACAAAGTTTTGATGCAGCTGTGAGTATAATCTTATTATTCCTAAAATGCTCTATTTGTGATAGTTCTCTTTTTAATAGGCTACTTTAACAATTATTTTAGATGAAAGGTTTGGCACTGAGCAATTCAGATGTGATTCGACAAGTACACAACAGTTTTGCCAGGTAAAGAGACTTTTTGTTAAATAAACACTTTCTTTTTTGCTTGTTTGTCTCTCACTATTTTTTTTTCTTTACTGTAGACAGCAAATGTTTGAATTTGATGCAAAGACATCAGCAAAAGAAGAAGATGCTTTTCACTTTGTCAGTTATGTTCCTGTAAATGGAAGATTGTATGAATTAGATGGATTAAGAGAAGGACCGATTGATTTAGGTAATCTGGTTCCTGTTCCTGCTATTTCACTTTTGACAAGGAAAAAAGATTGGGTATTCTCTTTTGTTTTTGCCGCAAGGCTCCTTAGGTTTTTGAAGGGGAAGGTGACTATCAGGTATAATGTCATGAAAAGTCTTAAGCTTTTCATTACTTTATGAGGTTAAATAAGATAGGAAGGACATGTTAACTACTATGGTTCAACTGGGATCTTTAATTTTTTTCTAAGAAAATTTCTTTAACCCATAGATTACATAATTTATTTATTTTTATTTTCCAGTTAACTTAAAAAAGCTGATTTTTATAGTGAATATAAGTTATTCTTGTCATTTTTAACCTGTAAGGGGTAGTAAGCATTTCTTACCATCTTGCATTAAAATATTTTCACTTAGAATTGGATCATTCAGAATCACTTTAATTCAGTGTTTAACAATCTACAAGAAGTGTTTTTCTTTGAAGTTTCTGTTTAAATAGTGTATTAATATGCTGTCCTTTGGGCCAAAGGGTAGATTTGTCCCAATCCCATCCATCTCTAACCTTAAGCAAAAATGATAAATGGTTAGCAAGGTTGAGGATATAATTGGTGGTTCTGATATAATACTAAAATCATAGACCCACAAAGAAATTTTAACTCCTTATTTTTACCTCATTAGGTTTCCTTTTTTCAAAAATTAGGTTCATTTTTAAGTCCAACGAAACCTGATTTTATTGAACTTAATGTAATCTGCTGTTCATAAAACTTTATAGTTTTTTTAGATTAAAAAATGAACATTGGTTCATTTTGTTTGTACTTTTTGACCATGTCCCCTGCATAGAACCAATAATTTGTCTAATGCAGATTTACGTGTTACCTCTATGTTTAAAAATATTTATTTTTCTGTGTCACAGAAAATTAATAGAATGTTCTTTAAATTCTCTTGAAGTTTTTTGTAGTTTGATGGTTGAGCTGATCTCTGCATTTTCTCTGTTAGCTTCTATCTGGTCACTTATTCTATATTCGTTAGAACCATCAAACACAAAGGACGTAAAAGATAAAGTAGAACAGCCGGTTTGCTATACAACTGGTGCTATGCTAAAAGTTATGGTGAAAAAGAGGATTAAAACAAGTGGGTAAAATTGGTTTTGCATTATGTGTAGTTTTAGTTCTTTATTTTATAGTTATGATGGTAGGGAGTCAGACTGTTAAGGATTGAATCCTTTATTTGCTTCTGACTTGTGCTGATTTTTCTTACCCCTCAGTTTCATTACTGTGAAATGGTAGTTATTCTTATTTCACAAAGTTGTGGATTGTAATGGGATCACTCCCTAATTAATTACTTTTCCAGACATTTGTTCAGTACCTACTAAGTGACACAAGAATGTGGTAATGCAAATTATACTAATGCTTTTTGCCCTTACCTTTACTCCGAAACTAAGAATTGAAGCTTAACATTGTTATGCTAAAAGGATTTTTACCATCCTGAATTTCCCAAAATATTTATAAAACAATATTTTAGACTAACTTTTGAAATAATTTTAATGTTGATTTTATTTGATTTAATTGCTTTCATATTTCTTTGTAGGTGCATGCAATCAAGATGACTGGATCAGCGCAGTGAGGCCAGTCATAGAGAAAAGGATACAAAAGTAAATGCTCAGCTATTCTCACTGGCATAGTAGTCTGGATTTTAAACATTTTTTTTCAACTTTTATTATTATTTTAGCAGTGCTTGTTGAACATCTACTTTTGATTGGTTTTTTTTGTTCAGGAAATCTATTTCAGAAATATTTAAATTCTACAGAGTAATATGTCCTCTAAAGTTAAACATGCAGATCTCCATTAGATATTTTATATAGTTGTTTTGTAGAATTGTTTTTAAGCATCTTTTTTTTATTAAATTAAAACTCTTATTTTGAGATAATTATGTATTCACATTCAGTTATAAAAATAATACAGAGAGATCCAGTGTACCCTTTACCCAGCAGTGGTAACATCTTATCGAACTAGAGTACAGTATCAACAGCCAGGTTGTTGCCATTGATACAGTCAAGGTACAGAATGATTTCATTAGCACAAGGATTCCTCATGTTGCCCTTTTAGAGCCACAACCACTTCCTTCCTCTGTTGCCACTCTCCCCTCCCATCTTTAATCCGAGGTTTAATAATTTTTGTCAGTTAAAGAATGTTGTGTAAATGGAAATGTACAATATGTAATCTTTCTGGATTGGCTTCTTTCACTCAGAATAATTTTCTGGAGATTTATCCAGGTCACTAAGTACATAAGTGCTTCATTCTTTTCTAATGATGGGTGCTAGTATATGGTATGGGTAGGATTTTTTTTTTTTTTTTTCCTATTGACCCATTGAAGGACATATGGATTGCTTCTAGTTTTTGGCTGTGATGAATAAAGCAGCAAGAAACATTTGTGTACACATTTTTGTGTGAACATAAGTTTTCATTTCTCTGGGATAAATGCCCAGGAGTGCCACTGCTGAGTTGTAAATGGATGTTTAATTTTCTAAGAAACTGCCAGACTCTTCCAAAGTGGCTGTACCATTTTACATTCCTACTAGCATGTATGAGCGATCCAGTTTTTCCACATCCTTGCTAGCATTTGGTTTTGTCAAAATTTTTTATTTTAGCCATTCTAGTAGGTGGGTAGTGATATTTCATTATTGTTTTAATCTGCATTTCCCTGATGACTAATTATGTTGAAAATCTTTTCATGCCTTTTGCCTGTTTTGTAAGTGGATTGTTTTTTGACTGTTGAGCCTTGAGTTTCCTTACATACTCTAGATAGTACTAGTTCTTCATCAGACATGTTGCCTGCAAATACTATCTCCCAGTCTGAAGCCTATCTCCTAATTCTCCCAATACAGTCTTTCACAGAGCAAAAGCTCTTAATCCCAGTGAAATCTAATTTATCAGTCTTTTCCACTATGAATTGTTTTTTGTTGTCAAATCTAAGAAGTCTTTGTCTGGTCCTAGATCCTAAAGATTTTGTCTTTTTTCCTAAAAAGTTTATATTTTAACATTTTGCATTTAAGTCTGTGATCCATTTTGAGTTAATTTTTGTACATGTTGTGAAGTTAAATCAAAGTTCATTTTGTTGCCTATGCATGTCCATTTGCTCTAGTACCATTTGTTGAAAAGGCTATCCTTCCTCTAGCAGTTTGGTAGAATTATAAAAAACCAGTTGGGTGTATTTGTATGAGTCTATTTCTGGGTTCACTACTCTGTTCTATTGATCTGTTTGTCTGCTCTCTGCCAATCCTGCACAGTCTTGATTACTGTAGCTGTATTGTAAGTCTTGAAATCAGATAAACTGATACCCACAACTTTATTCTTTTTCATCAACATTGTTTTAGCTGTTATAGTTCCTCTGTCTTCCCATATAAATTTTAGTATAATAATCCCATATAAATTTTAGTATAATCTTTTATATCCACAAAAATTCTTGCTGGGATTTTGATAGGAATTGTGTCATTTATATCCATTTGGGGAGAATTGGCATCTTTACTATGATGAGTCTTCCTGTCCATGAACATGGTATGTCTCTCTATTTACTTTGATCTTCTCTAATTTCTTTCATCAGTACTTTGTACTTTTTAGCATACAGGTCCTATACATGTTTTGTCAGATTTATACCCACATACTTTTTTTTGTCTTTTGAGTGATTACAAATGAAACTGTATTTTCATATTTGATTTATTTGATCATTGTTAGTCTGTAGAAACACATTTGATTGTTTTCTTTCTTTTTCTTGCATCCTTTAACCTTGCTGAACTCATGCACCAGCTTTAGAAGTTATCTATGAGTTCCTTGACATTTTCTCCGTAATCATGTCATTTGCAAATAGGGACAGTTTTGGATTTGTCTACTTCTAATTTCAGTTTTAATCAGTTTTTACTTTACATATTTTGCAGGTCTATTGTTTGGTGCATAAACTAAACATTTATCACTATTTCTTCTTAGTGGATTGATCTTTTTATCATTATGTCATGTCCTTCTCTAGTAATTTTCTTTGTTTTGAAATTTAGTTTATCTCATAGTAATATAGCCAGTCCTACTTGCTTGCTTGCTTGCTTGCTTTTTTTTTTTTTAAGATTCTATTTATTTATTTGACAGAGACACAGCGAGAGAGAGAACACAAGCCAGGGGGAGTGGGAGAGGGAGACGCAGGCGTCCCGCGGAGCAGGGAGCCCGATGTGGGACTCGATCCCAGGACCCTGGGATCATGACGTGAGCCAAAGGCAGACGCTTAACGACTGAGCCACCCAGGCGCCCCAGTCCTGCTTTCTTTTGATTTAGTGTTTTCATTCAAGTTGAGATTTTCATCATTTTTAATATGACAAATGATTATAGATTGAAACCTGGACATTTGTGGTTTTATATAATAAGACACTGGATTTTTTTAATAAAATTTCTGTTAAGCTGGTTTATATGAGCACTGCTCTGGCCAGGTAAATTTTTTTTCTACCTCATTACTGCCAGGTGAGAGTAGAAGTTCAGGCTCCCCACTCTGCTTCCATTGACATCTGAGATGGGAAGAGGTTCCCTGTTATTGCTGGGCAGGGGTGGGAGTTCTGGCTCCAAAAGGGTGTCCACTTGATACAACCCTGGCTGGAAGGAGTAGGAATGCCTTGTTACTCCTTACTACATGGCTTCACTGTCGCTGAAGTGGGGGAGGCTTCTTTACCACTGTATGGTAGTGACTTCCCACTTGGCTTCCCATTTAGTATCTTCTAGACACTGCAAATAGGTGTCATTACTGCCCACAGAGATGAAAGTCCTATCTCCCCACTCAGTCTTTGCTGGTGGGTAGGGTTAGGGCACAGTTTTTTTTCAGTTGTGTTTACCTATGGTAGAGTGGTAATTATCTAAAGGTTTTCTGTTTCATGAGTCGCCCCTTTCCTGTTTGGATAGAAGGAGCAGACTTTTGTTGGTGCTTTTTTTGTCTGTGTCTGTCAGCGTTTCTTAGTTGCTGACTTCTTTAATTCCAAGTCTAGGCTATATGAAGGCAAATGAGATAACTCAAGGAGTTCACCACTGTGTCATTTTTGGGTCCTGGTTCCCTAGCTTATCTGCCTTCTCTCCACCTTTCAGAATTTTCGTTCATCCTTTCATTTTCTTTTTAAAAATATATATTATGTCTAGTGTTTTTAATTGGTGTTTTCTTAGTGAAAGAAATAAGGAAATGAAGTTCCATTTTATTTTTATTTTTTTATTTTTTTTTAAATTTAAATTCATTTAACATATAATGTATTAATTGTTTCAGGAGTACAGGTCTGTGATTCATCAGTCTTATATAATACCCAGGGCTCATTACAACATATACCCTACCCAGTGTCCATCACCCAGTTACCCTAACCCTCCACCCACCTCTCCTCCAGCAACCCTGTTTGTTTCCTATGATTAAGAGTCTCTTATGGTTTGTCTCCCTCTCTGGTTTCATCTCGTTTCATTTTTTCTTCTCTTCCCCTATGGTCCTCTGTCTCGTTTCTTAAATTCCACATACCAGAGAGATCATATGATAATTGTCCACAGCAGAGTTTTATTTATTTTATTTTTTAATTTTTTTAAAGATTTTATTTATTTGTTTGACAGAGAGAGACACAGCGAGAGAGGGAACACAAGCGGGGGGAGTGGGAGAAGCAGGCTTCCCACTGGGCAGGGAGCCCAATGTGGGGCTTGATCCCAGAACCCTGGGATCATGACCTGAGCCGAAGGCAGATGCTTAATGACTGAGCCACCCAGGCGCCCCCACAGCAGAGTTTTAAAAACATTTTTACATAGTTCAAAGCACTGTAGTTAATATTGCTCCATATTCTTTCAGTGAATAGAACTATGTATGAGAAACTGTTATAAGTGAATAATGCAAAAACAAGCTTACATTTTCTATATATTCTCATCTTGATTAAGCACCATTTACATAATCTTACCAGTAATTCTTCTAATGTCAATCCTTACCATAAATAAACTAATACTATGAGATATCTCATTGTGATACTCTGGTATCAGAGTAGTGAAAATAAAACAGCATTCAGAAATTTTGCAACAGGATATACCATATTATATTAATAAAATATACAAATATTTTATAATTTATAATGTAAAGTATAAGTGAAATATAAAAATATATTAACTAAAAATAACTACATCATGACTTGGGAAAAAAGTATATAGTTAGGAATATAGTTAATTACCATCATAATGCCAGTATAATTAATCCAACAACTGTGAGGTCTTAGTTATTTTTTTCTGAGATCTGAAATAAATGATGGTTGCCATGTTTCTTATAAAAGTAGGAAAACAAATATTTTTTATTTCACATGTTTAGTGGTATAATTTTATTTTAGAAGATTTGAAAATATTTGTGATTAAATTTAGCTAGTTTTTTTCCTGCAGTTGTAGCCTTTCATATGTGAAAGCTTTATTTATTTATTTTTTAAAAGATTTTATTAATTAGAGAGCGAGCGAGCGAGAAACAGCATGACAGGGGAGAGGGTCAGAGGGAGAAGCAGGCTTCCCGCTGAGCCGGGAGCCCGATGCAGGACTCGATTCCAGGACCCCGGGATCATGACCTGAGCCGAAGGCAGTCGCTTAACCATCTGAGCCACCCAGGCGCCCTGTGAAAGCTTTTTTTAAATGTCAATTTTCACTGCTAGCCAATTGATAGATTTGTGTTTATCCTAAAGAACCATGGGGTAGTCACAATAGATTATCTTAATTATAATAGTGTTACAATTGTTTATTACATTATAAACTTTAACTTTTTTTAGGTACAGTGAAGGTGAAATTCGATTTAACTTAATGGCCATTGTGTCTGACAGAAAAATGATATATGAACAGAAGATAGCGGAGTTACAAAGACAACTTGCTGAGGTTTGTGACCATGTTTTTAGGTGCAAAGTTCTAGTTTATGTCTCAGGGAAAGTATTCTCTGTCTTTGTTCTTTCTCTTTCTTTATTCTTTCTCTTTCTTTGTTTCTTTCTCTTTGTTCTTTTCATTTCCTTCCTCCCTCCCTCCCTCTCTCTCTCTCTCCCCCCCTCCCTCCCTTCCTCCCTCTTGATTTAATGAAGTGTCCTGAGTGGTGATTAAGAGAAGACACTCTGGAGTCAGGCTGCCTGAATTCAGCTCCTGGCTTTGCCACTTAGTGGATGTATGAATTGGAATATACTTCTTTGTGCTTCAGTTTTTCTTTCTTTTCTTTTTCTTCCTTCCTTCCTTCCTTCCTTCCTTCCTTCCTTCCTTCCTTCCTTCCTTTCTTTCTTTCTTCCTTCCTTCCTTCCTTCCTTCCTTCTCTTCCTTTCCTTTCCCTTTCTTTCCTTTTTGAGAGAGAGAGAGCGAGCACATGTGTGTGCAAATGGTAGCAGGGCAGGGAGAGGGAGAGAGAATCTTAAGCTCCATGCCCTGCATGGAGCCCATGAGGGGCTTCATCTCATGATCCTGAGATCATGACCTGAACCTAAATCAAGAGTCAGTCGTTTAACTGACTGAGCCACCCAGGAGCCCCTGCCCCTGTGCTTCAGTTTCTTAATGAAAAATGAGGTTAATAGTATTTACCTTAGAAAGCTGTTGTGAGGATTAACTGAGATAATATCTGTAACCCACTTAAAACAGACTGACAAATATTACATGCTAAGTAAGTGTTAGCAATTAACTATTTAATTTCATTATTATAATTAAGCAAGTTAGAATATATTTCTCACGGAATTAATTGGGTACATTTAGGTTTACATGTAATCTTTACTAGTCTAATTGTTTTTTTGTAGTAAATATGATCGGAGAAGATAATTAGTAATAGTACCTTTTTTACATTCCTTTGATGACATTTTCTTAATAGCATATTTAAGCAAATTTATTTTGTAGTTAAGCAAAAGATTGTAGCAATATAGTATTTTGCAGTATAAGTTTTTTTTAGGTAAAAATTCCTATGTGTTATTGTAGAACATAGAAATATGGGAGGTACTACTTAGGGCTTTTGTCCTTTAATATTGCAGTTAGACTGGTATTCTGTCACCAATATTAAGAGTAAAATTTGAAAATAATTGCACTGTGTTTATTAAATATTTTGGGCTCAAGCCTCAATCATTAGGGTATGCTGTTCCTTTTTCTTTACCCTAAGGAGGAACCCATGGATACAGACCAGGGTAATAATATGTTAAGTGCTATTCAGTCAGAGGTTGCCAAAAACCAGATGCTTATTGAAGAAGAAGTACAGAAACTAAAAAGATATAAGGTATGTTTTCTTTTTTTTGTTCCTTTGTTTTAATATAGAGTAGTATATTTTGACATGAAGGTATGTTAAATATTTGATTTTTCCCCCCATCATTTACTAGTTTTCAGAATAATGAGTTGGTTCCTTGGCACCCCACAAAGGTAACTAGGAGGTTTCCTTCTTTTTAATTTTTTTTGAAGTATTATTATGAACAAATTTTTAACCTATTTGATGTTTCAATTCACTGCAATTAATGATGATCAAATTGTCTTATCTTTGGCCATTAGGATCCACTTCAAGCCCTAAGTCCTTTTGATATGATTCTCTTCATCTTTGATAGCTTCCTTGATTTCCAGTGTGACAAGATGGTTCAGACTCATCTTGTCCATTTTCTACTTCAGACTTTGATTAGCCATTTTTTTCAAGAAGCCCTGGGTTCTTTTGTTGGGAAATGTTATTTAGAAACCACTATTTGTTTTTTTAGTGATACTGATTAGTCATTATGTCTAGGCCTTTTCAGAGCTAAGAAATACATTTTGTTTGCTTCTTATTTTAGTTTTGAAGAGAAAATAGAATGTGAATTTGTACAATGTGAATTCAGTCTTCAAATTTAGAATTAAAGGGCTTGGGGCTCCTTACTGGCTCAGTCGGTAGAGCATGCGACTCTTGATCTCAGGGTCACAAGTTCAAGCCCAAGTTGGGCATGGACCTACTGAAAAAAAAAAAAAAGAAAGAATTAAAGGGCTTTATACTTGAAGTTAACCATTTGCATCTCTTCTCTTAAGCCGTGTGAGTTTGGAAATGGTAGTTACGTCATTTCTCATGTGTATCATAGTAGAAAAAGCATTGTTACTCATTTGAAGCTCAGCTGAAGGCAAGGATTGTCCTTTTTTCTTTTTCATTGTTCACCAAAGCATTAGCATAGTGCTTTGTATCATACTTAACAGACAATAAATGACTGTTAAATAAAATAAACGAACCTTGAACTGGTACAGTTTCTTCAGTTGGAAGTGGTGTAGGGGCTGGCTCCAGAGTATTCCAAGTTAATGGAGATAGGAAAGTAAGGGATGAAAGCTTGAATATTTATCTTCCATTTTATGTGGTATACAAAAATAACTACCCATCACTTATATATTCTTAATGCAGGGTTATTTCATCACTAAGTTTTAATATTAGCCTAAAATAAAACACAAATTAAGTTTTCAGAATCTTTACCTGCTACATTGCTTGAAAATGCTTGTTCAAAAAGGTGAAATGATTCTTACTGCTACAAAATGAACATGTGTTAAGATTTTATTTAATTCATTAATTAATTGAAGGAACCTGTAGTCACAACTAGTTCAAATGAGAAGTTAAAGCAGCTCAAGTTTATATGGAGTAAAGGAATGTTGAAATGAATTTACTGAAGATGGAAACTGTTTTTTTTTCTATGGGAGAAGGGAAGTAAATTGAACCTCTACCAGAGAGAATATTTAATAGCTCAATGGCAGTGAAAACCTAGAATCACGTAACTTGGGAGGGGTGCTGTAGACAATGCATAGTTTTCACTTGAAGCACAGATCTTTCCCTATAGTCTATCTTCTTCATTAAAAGTTATTCAAAAAAAGATTATTCTTTATTATTTTTTTTAAAGATTTTATTTATTTGAGAGAGAGAGAATGAGAGCACGAGAGGGAAGAGTGTCAGAGGGAGAAGCAGACTCCCTGCTGAGCAGGGAGCCCGACATGGAACTCGATCCCGGGACTCCAGGATCATGACCCGAGCCGAAGGCAGTCGCTTAACCAACTGAGCCACCCAGGCGCCCCAAGAAAGATTATTCTTGATCACAAAATAAAGCTGGTTTCATTAGGCGTGGCCTGATTATTTGCATAGTTGTAGTAGTAAGATTATTAATTTATCATGTGGGCTTCTTAAATTTACTTTCATCTTAAGTTTTCATAAATAATTTTAGACTTTTAAAAGTGTTATTTGCTAAGCCAAGAGTAGGAAGCCACACCCAAGAAACTCTTCACATGTTTTATTGTATTGGTCTTTATTCTCAGTGGGGATGGAATCTCATTATTTCTAATATTTTTTCTTATGAGAATGGAAGGTTTTCTCCAATTTCTATTTTGAGTTGGATGCAAAGATCAAAATATCAGAAACTTCGTGGAAATGTAAAGTTAGTGTGGTTTGATATTTGTTTTATTTTCAGATTGAAAATATCAGAAGGAAGCATAATTACCTGCCTTTCATTATGGAATTATTAAAGACTTTAGCAGAACACCAACAGTTAATACCACTAGTAGAAAAGGTAAGTGTTTTACTGATGGATACTTAAATTAGATTTAGATTCCCCCCAAACAAGATGTTTTTTTGGTTTGAGTAGAGGTAAAATTTGTTGAAGCATTCCTATGTTAATTTTTTTTGCATTTATCTATTGTTTTATATTCTAGATGAGCATTAGTTTAACCTGATATTTTTTTTAGTTCAGCCTGATATAAAATCAAAATAAGGAATTGTCCTATTGCTTTAGTCTTTTTTTTTCCTTAGTGTTAAGAACTTAGGTTGTACCTAATATTAGAATAAAATTTAAAACTTCTCCTGTCTTTAAGCTGAAAGCAAAATTTTTTTTAAGATTTTATTTATTTATTTGAGAGAGAGAGAGCAGTGGGGAGGGCCAGAGGAAGAGGGAGAGAGAATCTCAAGCAGACTCCATGCTGAGTGTAGAGCCTGATGCGTGGGGCTTGATCTCATGACCCTGAGCTTATGACCTGAGCCAAAAGCAAGAGTCGGACGCTTAACCAACTGAGCCACCCAAGCACCCCTAAGTTGAAAGCAACTTTTTAATGTTAACGATTGAAATAATAGATTCCTTGTTATTTAATTTAGGAAAAATTTGAATTATCATAGAATTTAAAACTAGAATGGACATTGAAGGGGGAAAAAAATAACTATAGCCTAGACTAATGAATGGGTTTTTTAATTCATTCCTAAGCTAGTATTCTTTCTGCCAAAGAAAAGCTCACATAGGTTTGTGAAAAATTCTGATTTCTAAGATTTTTTCTTCTTCAGTATAAGACACTTAAATATTAATTGCATAATTGCAATACAGTTAAATTGTTTTTAAGTTTATATTGTAAATCAGTGTTTCTGAAAGTGACCATCACTGGATACTCTTTAAAATACATGTTACCTGGCCCCTCCCCAGATAGTCTGATATAGGGGAAGGAATCTTTAATAAGTTACCCCAGGTGACTCTAATGCAGCTGGTTTGTGTACCACATTTTGAGAAACACTTTGAGAAGATACTACTAGGCAAATAAAAGTTTGGACCATTAACTTAAGAGCAGAGTACATGGTAGGTATGTGTTTCTTATTAATTTTAAAGTTTCTGAAGCAAAGATACATTTCAACCCAGCCTTTTTATATCATCATAAATAATAGGAAATGAGAATTAAGGTTTTTGTGTATACCTTATTACCCAGATCCTGAAACATGTGCTTCTGCTTTTAGCACTAAGTGCACAAATTATTGCAGAAAATTGCTAAGTCTTCTCTTTTCCATACAGATTTTCTGTTCATGTATCCCATGGTGTTATTCCAAGATGGGAAACTGATTTTAAAAAGTTTTAGATTAACATTTAGGGTTCTGTGATTCTCAGAAGTTCCTAGATACTGTGTTCTTTGTATGAAACACTATGAAATATTTCTCTATTAAAAATATTAAAATAATATATTGTGTTAAATCATATAATCTGTTGCATCAGATTCAACTATAGATAAATATTACTAAAGGCCAAATGTTATTAGAGACATTTAAAATGTATGTATTTTTCTTTAAAATTGGTCTGTGAATAAACTTTTTGGTGCAAATTAGGAAAATGACCATTCTTGTTTGATTTTAATGACAATATATCCCCAGATTTTTTTGAAAGCATAGTTGGAGAACAAGCATTGAACTGTAATTTCTTACTTCACATTTTGGACACAGGGTGGCAGTATGTGAATGCCTGGTGTTGGTGGGACACCAGTTCAGTGTGTTCTTGTGTTTACACCTTTTTTTGAAGGGATAGTTATTGATCTACTTTTGCCTATTTCTTCAGACTACTCTTTGATTAATAATATTGCATAAGCAATATTGAGGTTACATTTATTCCTTGTGTATATACAATATCTGTTATCCCCTAAGGAATTCCCTTAAAGGAATCAATCTGTTATCCCCTAAGGAATATCCCCTAAGGAATATAAAGGAATTCAGATGCATTATTTGATTAAAATTTTTGAAATTTTAAAATTATTCATCAAACATTTATCTAGCTGTAAGTATATTCTAGGACTTCTTACAGTCTATAGATATATGTACAACTAAGATATACTCTTCTCTCTTAAGCAGTTCATGATGTAGTTGGGGAAAGGAATAAATAATTATAGTATCATACTGAATAGGATTGTTCTGATAAGTGCCAGAATCAACACATGCCGAAAGTCCTGGGGGAGCACAGGGTGGCTCCTTAATAGCCTTATGCCACTTGAAGTTTCACATCCATAAAATTTTAAATCTGTGGTTAGAATCAAATGCTTATTCTCTACCAATAAATCAGCTTCCTTAAGCATAAATGTATTTTGTTCATCACATTTTGAAAAAAAGAAATCATTATATCATATTGAATATTACTTTCTACAGATAAACATGTTACAAATGAAAAAACAATAATGATGAGATTTTATAATTATATACAATACAAAGGCTTTAATAGTGATAATTGCTTAATAGTAATACTTCTAAGAAAAATAACATGTAGAATTCAGAAATGGATAAGTTGAAATTACTAAGAAATTAATAAGTTTAACTGTTCCTTCCCCCACCCCTCAGTCCCCTATGCCAAGGGAAAGTAGAATAAAGGAACAAAGTATAAAAGAGGTAGAAAGAACCAAAGAGGAAAGATGTGGCTACTCTTGGCAGTGATGTCAATGCCAAACCTGTCCAGGATCAGATCTCTGAGTAACTGAGATAGTTGCTTAGAGCCTGTGATGGCATGAAAGTATTTGAATTTGAACATCTTTTTATTTTACAGAATAATAAAGAAAAGATCAAGACTTTGATTCTCCTGAGGGCGTATGGCTATAATGAATTAGATTAAGATCTTACCTTTTATAAGTATTTTTGTTATATGAGGCTTCTTCTCTTTTCTGAGGAATTGAATATACATTATGTAATACCTGCTTGGGAAATAACCTAAAAATACATAGTTATAAAACTTCTTGTGCCATATACCAAATCTTAACTGTGAAACTTTTACTGAGTTCAGGTATACTCAGTAAAATTCTTTTAATATTTTTATCTTAACCTAGTAATTCTGGATCATTGTCTATCCCAGGTTTTTAATAATCGCCAATAACCTACCATAATATAAAATCATAGAATCAGTTGCTGTGGGATTCAAAGCACCTTCAAATACTGAATTTTGTCCACATTTTACTAAGACAGTATAATTCAGTTGGTAATAATCTTTAGAACTGGGGCGCCTGGGTGGCTTAGTCGGTTAAGCATCTGCCTTCGGCTCAGGTCATGATCCCAGGGTCCTGGGATTGAGCCCCGCATTGGGCTCCCTGCTCCGTGGGAAGCCAGCTTCTCCCTCCCCCACTCCCCCTGCTTGTTTGTGTTCCCTCTCTCTCTGTGTCAAACAAATAAATAAAATCTTTAAAAAATAATAATAATCTTTAGAACTTACTTTTTCTATTCCTTAATAGAAATAAGGTAGAGGAATAGTTGGTATTCACAATAATACCGACATTGATATCTGTGATTACAGAATTATCTGATTTGAGTCAGTGATTTTTGATGTTTCATTGACATACTGTATAGAAGGTAACAATGTACCTTTTTTCCATGCTATGTAGAAACAATATTGTTTTTTATTTATAACAAAGGCTGAACAGAATACAGGCTTTTGGTTTTAAATTGCTGGTGCGAATTTAGCTGGTGCTTTTAGGCAAGTTATTTGCTTATAGTTTCCATTTCTTCATCTGTTAATTACGAATCATACCTACTTCACCTTCTTGAGGACTAAATATCTATAAAGTACATAAATGAGTGCTCAATAAATGGTAATTATTGTTAACTTATTTCACTTATTCTTAATTTTATCTGAATTATATAGTTTAATAAATTATATAGTTTAATAAATTTTAGCTGAATTATATAGTTTAATAAATTATGCAGTTTAATAAATTATATAGTTTATCTGTATTATTTGCTTATTTAATTATATTATAAAATTTATGTTATAAACCAGTAAGTTTATTTTTGTTAATCCTACTAAACATTCTGTATATTCAGAGTATATTTAGAGATCAATATGGGAAAAGTACATATTTTTATTTCAAATTATATCTGAAATTAAATTGTATTTTTATTATTTGGAAACAGAACTTCTTTGTTAAAAATCATATACATATCAAATTATAAATTATGCTAACTAAAAATGTTCATGCAAGCAATTTTATATGATACATATAACATTTCTTCTTAATATATTCTAAGGCATAGCACTTTATTTTATCATATAGTTGTATAATAATTATACTACCTAATACATTATAAAAATATTGTAGTTCTAATTACCCTATTTTTTAATCTAAGGAAGTTTTTTTTCTTAGTTGTATAATAACAAAACTCTATTTGTTCCTTTCTGATTCAAGTGGCATAGTGGAAAGAACATTATATTCTAGTACTCTAAAATCGTATTTCTCAAAGTGTCATCTGAGGACCAGCGGAATTGGTATCCTCTAAAAATTTGCTAGAAATTTAGAATCTCAGGCATTTTATTGAATCAGCATTATAACAGGGTCCCCAGATCATTGGTCTGTACGTTGAAAAGCACCACTATAGAACAGGTATCTTTTGACCTCTTGAGGTTCTATTTTATACTAGCTGTGTGACTTTTGTCAAGTTTGAGATCTATAAGCTGTCTTTCTCATCTGCTGAAAAACAAAATAGAATTACTGGGTTCAAGCTATATAATTGTTATGAGGATCGAATGAAATAAGGTAAGAGCATTTTTTAAAAACGTTCTATAAGTAAAATAAGTAATGTTTATTAATACTACAGATATGTGATCCTTTAGTGATATTCTGTTAAACTCATTCAAACATGCAGAAACTAATATGAGATTTTTCTTATACTCAATTTGAATGAGAAATGGGCACATATGTAAATATATCGTTTTGAAGTATTTATGAATGAGTATGACTTTGTGGCATGAGTAATTATGTATATTTAAATTATTACAATTATAATATATTTCAACTGCAGATAAGAAAGAACTATAAACCAAACATGATCCTTTTTTACTGAGGGCAAAACATAACTATAATTTGTCCAGCAGTAGTTTGTTGCAAGTCTTGAGTTATGAAAGATAATGCTCTAGAAATCTTAAAAACAATGCATTTCAAGCCTTTTAGCTTAAGAATGCCCACTTACACACATTTTAACATGATCTAAAATGGACTTTTAAGATTTTATAGAATACTATCTTTAACTTCTAGGCAAAAGAAAAACAGAATGCAAAGAAAGCACAGGAAACCAAATGAAGAAGATGCTTTGGGATGTATACACATTTCTGCTTCTGCACTTATTTTCATGGAAACCATTAAGTATAAGGAACTTTGAGCATCATCCTAATTGACTCAGTGCACGTTTGGCAATAGTACCAGTCTGTCTTGTCTTTAATGCATGGATTCTTTCCCTACCTGCATCATGTGCATGTAGTGCATATTAAATAAAAGTGATATTCAGAGTGCTTGCCCAAATTCCATTATTTGACATTGGATCTGAGAGCTTCTGCTATTGGTTCTGTGGATATATACTATCATAATGAACCTAGGAATTATAAAATGTTATTCTCTACCTGTAATTGTTATAATTAATCTCTCAATCTTTTAGCTCAGTTACATGCTTAAAATTTATGAATGTCAGATCTTGATTAAATTAGATCTCTTGTTTCTCCTCATCATTAATGAAAAAAATCAGTATTTGTCTATGATATCTAAACATTTTGAGGATTTTAAAACTGAATTTTATCTTGAGAAAGTATGGTTTTAATGCAGATCATTTGAAAAAGACAAAAGTATAGTTTCTAGTGATTTTTACTGCTGCCAGTAGAAAAAGTAATAAACATTCAGTTTATTTTAGCAGACTTTCTTTAAGTGTTTGGGATTATTTATTATTAGAATCATTTCAGGAAGGTGTGATTATTATGCTTCAAAGCAGAATTTCAGGTTAAGAACAAATGATAAATCTTAAAAGATTTTTGGTGTTACTCTCAGTCTGGCAACATTTTTCAGGCTGCTAAGCTCTGTCTTTATAAAAAATCAGATGTTTGACAATTTAGGCTATCTGCTTTTTTAAAAAAATAGGATGTGGTGGTGGAGGATTCTTCTATGCCAATTTGAATGAAATTGGTACAGCCCAATAGTTTCAAGAACCATGTACAGTTCGCTCACAATGGAATTTTTGAAATTACTTTTGGGGGTTGCTTTGTTTTTTTTTTGTTTTATGCAATAATTGTATTCTTGCTCCTAATCTTTTCCAAGTTAAACTTTAAAGGAGATTTTATGGAACTTCTTTTTATAAAGGAAATTATCTACTTTTTTTTCTTACTAGATACATTTCTGAAATTGATACATGACTTTTTTTTTTAACAGTTTATTATGGTAAAGTTTAAACATACATAGAGCAACTGCTTATTCATCTTCTAGCTTCAAACACCTGAATTTTTTAAGGATTATTTTAAAACTTACTACATTGTGGTATTATTAACTAATGTGAAAAAATCTGGTGGGAAATTGAGTAGAAAAATTAATGAAATATTTTTCATACATAATTTTAGTTGAAGGTAATAAAGAAGAATTTGTAGTTTTTCATTTGTGGGTAAATATATTTTGCTCTGGATACAATAGTAATTATGGAGTGCTTTTAAAGCCATGATACAATTTTAAAAAGTGATTTCTTAAGGATTATTTTAGGCTCATCTTGATCCCATGCAATTATTTCAACTTAATTTATATACCTTGTTTTTGTTTTTTTTTAAGATATTTTTAGTTTGGAGTAATCTCTACACCCAGTGTGGGGCTTGAACTCACAATGCTGAGATCAAAAGTTGCACAGTCTACTGAGTGAGCCAGCCAGGTGCCCTTATATACCCGTTTTATAGAGGCTTAAATTTTGTAAAGCAATACAAGGAATATTATAGTCAGTAGTATACAGTCATCAAGACAGTGTGACACTAGCATAAGGATCAACAACAAATTGATCAGTGGAATAGAAGAGAAATCCTATAAATAAATCCACATTTATGTGGTTACTTGATTTTTGACAAAGGTCGCAAAGCAATCCAACAGAAAAGGAAAGTCTTTTCAATAAATGAGGCCAGAACAGCTAAACCTTCATGTGGAAAAAAAAAGGAACCAAGACCTTCTTCCTCGCAAAAATGAATTTGAGATGGATCATTGACCTTCATTTAATAGTTAAAGTACAAAGGTTTTTAGAGGAAAACATAGGTGAATATCTTTGTGACTTGAGTGTAGCCAAAGGTTTCTTAGGTCACAGCAATAACCATAAAGATCCAAAATCTGTTTATAAAAATTAAAAACTTGTCATTGAAAGATGCTTTTAATAAGAGTAACCAGTATCAAATGACATTAAAATAGCTTTATAAAACTGTGTTAATAGGTATAAGGATATTTTCTTATAATCTAATTCTAATAAAATTCTTTGATAGGAATTTCCATAGCTTAAGAATGGCTTATTTTATCTGCTTCTTCTTTGATAATTGTAAATGCATTGTGATCCTTCATGATAATGTTTGCCAGTGAATAAAGAAATATGACTTGTCTTTGTCTGGGTCTTAAGTCATGAAGCTGGTGGGTAGAGAAAATGGATGAATAAAGAACAATCCAGAAATATATGTTAGTTATGTGGGAAGTTTTTTCTTTTTTAAAAAGGTGTATTGAAAGGAGTATTTAAAAGAAAGTCTCCTTTGTTCATTTCACTTTTGCCCTTTTCTGATATCTCATTTAATGCTTGGGTAGGTGAAGGCACTTCCATTCTGTTTTGTGCCTTTTAAAAAAGCCAATTCTAAGCAATATACTTTTGCTATCATAAACAAAGAAAGCTTGCCAACAGCTGCTGCACTGGCTAGTCTCACCTCATATGTTTAGTTCCCAAGATAGCTGCCCTTTTTCTAGCAGAGAGCAGTCTGCTTGACTGTGCCACTGGAATAGACAAATATTTGTTCTGAGATCGTGAACGATGGGGACTTGCTCCCCTATTTAGACCATGATACATACTTCTGTGTGTATTATGGTGTTACATGCAGATTAATAACTTCAGTTAATCTAGTTGCCTAAAACATTTCAAGATACATTTAGAAATCACTTTTTTTTCCCCCCTGTAGGAGCATTTTGTGTCTTGGGGGGGATAAACTTTTAAGGTTTTTCCTTTAAAAAATTTGAAGAAAGATAAGCAAAAATAAAATTTAAATTACCCATCGTTCTACCATCAGGGATGACTACATTGACATTTTAGTGTGTTTAGTGATTCTTTTTCCCCATATGTGTGCGTTTCTGTGTGTTAGTCTTGCATGCCCTCCCCATATGCCAAAATAGATTTATGTACTATAAGTTATTTTTAAAGCAGATGATATGCAATTTATCATCTTTGTATCATTGACAACTTATTCGCAGGAAACAAACCACTCCAGCTATTTGAAGAGGAATGGGGATTAATATTGAGCATTTTGAAAGCTAGTTTCTTACAAGGTCATTGGAAGTTATGGAGGAGTAGGCTCTAGTTTGGGTTTCCAGGAATGACTCCCAGCAAAACCTATGTTACTGGCCCACCAGCAGAACTGCTACATTTGCAGCAGTCAAGGGTTCACCATTGGAGTCCCTGATGTTAGGACCTGCTGCAGCAGCTGTGGTCTGGGAATGAGGAATGTGCTGCAACTATGTGTTGTCACCCAGTGACTATATACTAGAACTGTGGAAAAATTCAACCCCTCCACGGCTAAGCACTCAGAATAGTGAAAGCCACTCAGAATAAATTCTGCCACTCAGGTTAGCTAAAGCAACAGGCAGATGGCCTCTGCCTTTTGACTTTCAAAACTTAGGTTTTCTGCAAGGGAATCTAGGAAGTGAGTTTTTAGCTTTGCAGTCTCTGCAGATTAGGAAGGCATTCTAGGAGGGGGCTGGCAAGTCCACTCAATCACACATTACTACATTCTTCTACAGTAACAATTTTTTCTTTTTATGGAAGTAATACATGTTTATTTTAGAGAAATGAGAAAATACAGAGAAAAAATATGAAAATAAAATCTAATCCTATTACCCAGAGATAATTACTGTTAGTGTTCTGATGTATATCTCACCAGACAATGTGTTTACACTCACACATGTAATAAATATTTTTGTTTTTATGAAAGGGATTACAATTAAATATTTTGTTCCATGCTTCCCCCCACAAACGTCTCATATTAATAAATATGTTTGTATCACATCTTTTTTTTAATGGTTGCTTAGTATTCCATTATATAAGTATGCTCTATTGTATTTAACAAGTTTTTTTTAGTGTGGAATAAAGCATAGAAATAAAATGGGCAAACTGGATAGTTTGATTTTGGGGGGAGGAATTTATTTTTTAAACTGACATGATTTCTTAGATCTGTCAAATATGAATGTTCTTCAATTTGTTCTTTTCCTTAACACGTGGTTAATTGGCTTAAATCCAATGACTGAGAGGTCAAAGAGTCACCACTTCTAGCATACCTAGTACTTTTTATTTTATTTTATTTTTTATTTATTTTTTTAAAGATTTTATTTATTTGACAGAGAGATAGCGAGAGCAGGAACACAAGCAGGGGGAGTGGGAGAGGGAGAAGCAGGCTTCCCGCTGAGCAGGGAGCCCGATGTGAGGCTTGATCCCAGGACCCTGGGACCATGACCTGAGCCGAAGGCAGACGCCCAACAACTGAGCCACCCAGGCGCCCCCTAGTACTTTTTATTTTTGACTTTATATTAATGTCTTGAGAACTTGATAATTTATCCAACATATATCTGAGTTGTTCTAGATGCTGGAGATCAAGCCTCTGCCCTCAAGGTGAGAGGCAATAGGCAAGCCTGTATAATATAATTTTTCAAGTACTGGAAAGAACTATAAAAAAAACAGCAGGCCAAAAGAATGGAGGGAGGTGAGGTTTGATGGGATGGCCATGGAAAATACCTTTAAAGAGATAATATTGAAGCAGAGATCTAAATGAAGAGAATTTTCTCTGTAGTACTGACTCAGCACTACGAAAGAGGATTGCATACAGGCAGAATCAACATGCAGTAATTCTGAATATTAATTTTTAATAATGTGTGATAGTTAAAAAGGTTTATGAAAGTTGATTTGGGGTGATTTTGATTTGATTTTTAATATGAAAATAGGTTGAATAAAAATTACATGTAGGAAACACTAGGACCACTGGCCTATGTGTTTTTTTAGGCTATCCAGATAGTCTACATAAACTTATATAACACTTTCTTGTAGCAATGTAGTATAGTATTGACTAAACCATAAAATTAGTGGGAAAAGTCTCATGCAAGTATATTTTAAAAACAATTTGACATATACCATGATTAAAGAAATAAACATGAAAACTAAATGAAGTTATTAGAAAAATATGGGAGGATATTTTATTATTTTGGGATAGAGAAAAGCTTCCTAAGCAAGCAATAAAACATAGAAAAAAAAT